ACCACCATAGAAAACTTGGAAGCACTGGGACGGCCGTTTTGTCCTATTGTGGGACTCCTCAGACGTGTGCATCCACGACACCGCCTGACGAGGTTCAAACCCAAGATCTATCAGTCTCGCCCGCGAGCGTTTAACTATTAGACCAAAAGAAATCAATAATTTACTTACATTCATTGACACTTTTTAACATACTGTGAATAATCTCATCATTATATTCTAATTGTACTAATATCAATTATAATGAATGAAAGAATAGGAAAACATGTGATATGGTATTAACAGTAGAGAAATAAAGAACATGTGCTTTCACCTCTAATTTCAATCGGTTATTTACATAATCAATGTAATAGATAGAACTGAAAATATTCCATCCAAGAAAAAAATATATATCGCACACATTTATAATCAATAATATTCATTTAAAGTAATGGTTATATTAGCGTATAATGTAAATAATGATGATAATAATAATGGGTAGAAATTAGTACTATCTATGAATGTGTACTGGCAAATATGTCGATCTTGTTAGTTGGATCGTAGATGCTTATTGTTATTGTTAAGCTCTATGCTAGGATTAAACAGTTATCCACTTCAATAGTTTAGATCATGAAGCTAGACCATCATGGAAAACCTAGAAGCGCTTGACGTCCTATTGTTGGACTTCTCAGCAGTGCCAATCGACGACCACGCCCGTCGGGATTCGAACCCAGGACCTATCAGTCTCGCGCGCGAGTGCTTAACCTCTAAACCACTGAGCCGACCGGTATCCAACGGTGTTAATGTCTAACTTTAACTAATTCACGAAATTGAGCGACACATCCACTATTGTCTTCAGTGAGTTACTATCTCACAACTGATCCAGTTGAACTCCTCTAATCACTGCTTCGCATTAAAACTCCAGGATATACATCTTGATGCCAGTCAATAGTGAGCATATGTTGATTATTATCAGAAGGGGTTTTGTGGAGATTGTAGTAATTTCAATAAGTGAGATCATGAAATCGTGGATGCACATTGCTGAGGAGTCCCACAATAGGACAAAACAGCCGTCCAGTGCTTCCAGGTTTTCCATGGTGGTCTAGCTTCAGTTGACTCATGATCTCAACTATTCAAATTACTACAATCTCCACAAGACCCCTTCTGACAGTTATCCATTTATTTTTTAACTTTGATCTTCAATGGTCGTCTAAGATTATTCTATGATACAAACTATGAAATAAATCTAGAATTTTATTATGCAACAGCTGCTTCAACCTTAAATTATTGTTTACCGAAGGTTATAACTGATTTGATAATTTATTATGCACAAAAGATTAGGATAGAAAAGCTTATATCTAACTCAGGTCATTCATTATTGACTTTATGTAACAATGTTATCGTCTAGTTTGATAATTCTGTTATTTTATGATAATAACCAATGCAAATGTCACTGGAAGTAAAGAATAACTTATCTTGATTTAATGTTAATAATACAGCAGAAAATTTAAAAAAACTCGGAGTATTTTATATTGGTAGCTTTAAGTGTTCTATTTTCAAACAAACTATTCTAATGTTACCAAGTGATTGGTCAATGAGTAGTTATCAGTGTTATGTATGCCAGGTTCTTTCCAGTACTGATCGAATTCCATCAATCAAGTTGTAATATGTTCACTCGTTTAATTGACTCAAAATCTCGTTCATTATGTTGAGACATAAGTTGATTGAAGGTAGTCGATGGGTCATTATTTTGTGATCAATTAATTGCAATACATCTTAGACACACATGAGGTCAAACTCTGCTCGAATAGTTCATTGGCAGAGCCTTTGACAGTGAAGCTGGGTTACACGGGATCGAATCCGTCAGAGAGTGTCAACTTCCTCAAGATTACAAACATACCTTGCTGAAGAGTGACAAACAGCACGAAACCTAGGTTTTTGGTTTCTTATCGACTACTCTCGACTAAATAACAACTACTCAACAAGGTTAACTGAAAGACAGTAGAGATTATCAGTCAGTGATTCTATGTTTAAATACCTGGTTATCTAATTATATAAGAATCTTTATTTAAAGTTATTCACATAGCTAGACGAACTCACTTCAAGGGAGACTGAATAAGAAGTTTTTATACAGCTGACGCATTGGCAATTCATCAATTGAACCCTTTTCTTTATATATATATATATATATATATATATATATATATATATATATATATATATATATATATATATATATATATATATATATTTAACATATGAAGGTATTCCTGACTAATTATTGGCAACTTAGCTAATGAGGTAGTAACTTTCTATGTGTAAAATATAACTGTGTGCATATAACCATGTATAAAATATAACTATAAACATAGTTGTATGGCTTTAGTAAATCGAATCTAAACCGATAGATATGATAGGATGTAACACACTCGTTTACATGATACTTGGTAAAAAATAGACTTTGATTTTTCAGTAACGATAAGTTGAGCGGTGTAAAAATTCTTACTGATCACTAATTTAAGTGTTTATTCCAAAATAAGACTATTTGAGTTACCTCGTAACGGTAATGTTATACAGACACATTGTTCGGTACCAAAAGTATTGTAGATATATCTTTATTTTCCAGTATTCCAGTCTTCAGCAATAAGGATAGTAGGTTGGTGAACCTGTGTTAATCCTGACAAATTGCCTTCCAGTGAAGGTTCAGCTTCTCCTTGAAAATGATCACTGATGGGCCTGATACCACTTGTTCGAGTAAGGCGTTCCAATCATTGACTACTCGATGAGAAAAACGGGACCCCACTTTAAGTTTATTAGATCGTGGTTTATGAACCTTCGTGCTATGACCTCGGAGATTATTAGTGCTGGAGGGAGCAAAAACATAAGACATATTAACACCAAAATCATAATTAAAGATACGAAATGCCAGTATAAGGTCACCTCGTGTCCTACGATACGACAAGGGGCTTATGAACTTAAATGAAGAATCATTCTTTATTAATGTTTCTGTTAAGAGCATTACTTATCCTTCAACAGTACTTTTTAGTGCAAATACGATTGATCATATAATATTCATTTGTATTGATTAATTCAGTATGATTTTTCATCCGTTTGATTATTTTATTAATCCAGGGTACTTTGTGTTCATTGTGACAATCTTTTTTCACTAATAATCAACGTATATGAATGAAATAATTTAGTTTATTTTCATTTATTAAAGGGGCATTAAAATATCTATGGCTCATACAATAAAAATGAAATTCCAAAGAGCTAAAGAATGGAAGATAAGCAATAATAAAATAGGACAAAAATGGATAGAAATAAATCAATACGAGTAAAAAATTAACATTAGTGGAAGAAGTATTTTCGTTAAGAGAAATACAATCAGAAAGGATTATTTCAGTTAAAGAAGTTCCCCTCATTGATAAAAGAAGGAAAAGAACATTACAACAGAACCACCACTGGTTGCTGTTCTGAACCAAGTTCGTAGATCCAAGCTTTTGTAGCCCGACTAACATTATGAGGTCATCAAAGATAGATCAGATTAGCATGAACGTCTCTGGGTTTCACTATATGTGAATTGATCTCGTCATTCGTGTCACCATTTTCACAACTACCCAGATACACGAACTTCTTGACCACTTCTATCTACTCACTGCCAAGACTGAGTGAAGCTAAAGAGTCCTACCAGTCTTGTAAAAGTATTTTACACTTAAAAAGAGGAAGGCACATCTCATACCTACGGAAACTGATTGCCAACTGACTGTATAAGTTGCATGGCTTAGGCATCATCGCAACGGAAGTTTATATCATCCCCATACTCAGGGTTGAAAAGTATTTCACCAGGTAGCAGACCCAAAAATTATCTACATCCATCAGAGCTGTTTACAGGACACCGACGATGGCTAAGTTAAGGAGGAGTGGTGAGATTGTGCAAGGCCGTCTAACCCCACTGCTAGGTTAATAATCTTCTGTGGTCCTTATCAATAAATCTTCTGTACAAGATTGTCTTTTACAGTAGCCACAGTTAAAAAGTAAATGAGCTGTGCTATTTTAGTATCGAAAGGTATCTGAGAATCACTACAGTGATTTCGAGTCATATCAATTTCTAATCGAATTATTTTCCTAAAATGACAATGATCATATGTTATGCGAATTAACGAATGATCACTACACGAACTTCATAAGACTTTCAGTGGCTCTTAATCTGACTCCAGGTTGTTGGTGTAAATCATTGTTATTGAAATGATTGCTGTCGAAATATGTATGTCACCAATCCTCGTATATAATCACTGACTTGAATCGCGTTAGTGAATAAAGGAATTAAATAAGTCAAATACGAGAATGATTTTTGAATACATATAATTTCTACACTCATTGATTTGGACAAACAATCAGAGGGACGAAGCGAAATGACGCGCAGTGGAAAAGGCGTGTGAGCCAATTTGATTTAATCAAGCGTTAATCAATATTTATAGCCTGACAAACATGTGATGAATAGGATAAGAAGTGCACACATACGCTTACATAAAGACAAACAAGGTTGATAAGCGAATAATCAACAAGGTCAAAACTTGACTCAAGAATGAATAGACTGGCCTGTCCGGAAGGTAGAATAAGCTATGTGGGCTTAACATACCACTACAAACTGAATAAATTCAAAGTGAACTCTTGTTAATGATAAACCGCCTTCTTGTAAAATCCTATTAAACTCACGGATTCGGGTACCTAGCTTCGAGTCACCGAGTGTAAGAGCTATTTATACTACTCAGTTGTCGAAGCCAGAGTAGGTGGAAAAGAATCCGGATCTGTGACTTTTGTCTGAAAGTCGAATGCCTTAACCACTGGGCTATTGTTCTATTGCCCTCTTGTAAGATATCCAGTTAGAAACTTAAAACATCCAACCAATGATCACGATTATCGTGCAAACGCGAACTTCATAGTTTAAACCTACGATCACGGTTCTGGCCATAATTTATTGATTTCATCGACTGGTGCCATGACACTGTTTGGTAGGTTGGATACGTAATATATCTTAATCACCTCACCTGCATCAGTTGATCTCCCACTTTTACCTAGTGTATCTCACGTACAACCTCATTATTGCTTACTTACTTACTTGTCCCACCATACCGGAACAGGGACACGAAGAAATTACACTACAAATGTTGCATTCTCCAGCCATAATGTATCGCATACGTAGTATAGTATACTTAAATGTCTTCGATTATAAGTTACGAGAAACGTACATTTGATTTCTTAAATTAATTTTAGAAAAAAATAAAAAGCACTGAACAACAAATATTGACAAAGTAAAAAACAATAACATAAATAATGAAACTAACCAAATTTATCTCAATTAATTAAATCAGAAAATTTACAAAATAAAAAATGAAACATAAAAATAACCTGTAAGACAGATAAAAATGAAATTCATACAAATAAAAGATTAATTATATAAGTATATAAATTAAATGGATGGATTCATTAAATAAGTGATTCAATACTAAAACACAGTTCATTCAATAGATCCTCTATATTCAACACAACCATAACCCACACACTTACTATAGGGAGTTTGAATGGAATATTAATAAAATAAGCACCAATATGTTAAAACATACAAAGACAAAAGTGAAAAATATCAAAAAGTATACATGATTCTGTTAAAATCGAAAAAAAGAAAGAAAAGAAAGAAAGAAAGAGACACAGTGAAGAGAAATATAAGAGATATTTATGAAACATAATGAATAATGATTACCAATAATACATATTATTATGTAAAATTACCAAAGAAAATAAACAGTAAAAATAAAGAATATTAGCTTTCTTGATAGAATTAAGTCAAATTAATGTATTAGTTGATTAAGCATAGGATAATTAATGAATATAATGATCAAGTTTCTTTAATAATTATAGAATCAAAAAGAGATTATTCACACATTTTAAGAAACGAATGCATATGTCAACTGTGTAGAATGCAAATAGACATTTATTTAATAATTTAACAACAATCACCATAAGGTTTCGGTTCATTTCGATCAAATTGTATTGATCTACTTGCTAAAGAAGCAGCCAATGCTGCATTATGTCCTTGTTTAACACCATCCCAAACACCACCTGCGCATAACTAAAAAGGTGAGTAAATATAAACAAGAAAAATGTGCAAATGAAACATATTCAATTGTCAATTACTCTTAATTGATAGACAATTTGCTATATTTACAATACTTATGATGAATGAGTTACAATTAGTTAATAGAAAATTACCCAGTTTAGAGGAGATCATAGTTATACACATACTAGTTCTTTGAAGTTATAGATAAACTTACAACAAATGATATGTTCTACTCTAAATGCCATTAGTTTCAAGATACATGTACCATTAAAGAGTTTGCTAGATGAATAATGTTTTCCTTTATACTAAAAAATCTTTAATTACTTTCAGAATATTTTTGATATTAGATAGAGTTTATGGAGTGTACATGTACGTTTACATTCTCACGTTAGTTTGTTAAGACTGCATACGAGCAAAACTTGAGTCTATGAAGTCATTAACTATTGGTCTGAGGCATATAAGGGAGATGCAGAGTTCATGATTAAGATCCTCAAGAGAATCATAACACTTGTAGTTAAAAGCCTTTGGTGGAATGGCTTAAAATTAGTGGCAGCGGTGTAGCTCTATTTAGTTTAGAAATCTTAAGCTTAGTATCTGATGTATCTTCAAAGACAACAGATTCCTAAAATGTATTGGGTACCCTATGATCAGGATGTTTATTATGACAATATAGTTGTATTACCTTGTCCGATTACTGACTCACTTGCCCATATTTCCCGTAGGACCAATGACTTTGAATTCCAGACCAAGACCAATACCTAACACCTATTATTCTAGAGTACAGCCTTCATCGCTTCAACCGATAACCAAACAGAATACGGACGCAGCAAGCAAATAAAACTTCCACTGGACACTTCAGTTATAAATCATATGATAATATGTACTAAATATCTGACTACACAGCAAAATTTAGGCGGCATATTCTCCAAAAGGGGTAAAAGACGTAAGTAAGGTAAGCAATACAGCATAATAAACAGGAAACTACGATGTTTGCCTGATTATGCTACAGATGAAAAAAGATGGAATGACAGGCCCATGATTAAATAACAATAACTTAGGCAAGGTAAAGCATACAGAAACGGATTGCTCATTAGCCAGAAGTTTACAAACCGAGGAATATAAAGATATAATAATCCAAGTACTTAATAATTATGGAATAAAAATACAAACAGTTGTTTGCCGTAGGATAGTTCTGAAAGTCCAAGCTTGCATAAATCCTTTTCGAAATGATGGTAACCTAATATCTTCCGGCCTTAAACTTCTCTTTTGGATCACTTTCCCGGGTGTGGTCAGATATATGAGGGGGGTTTTCACTTACCAGTTGCCTACACATGGAACCGTATTTCGTTTTGGCTACTTCTTATCCAATCAGCAGTCAGTCAGTCAGCCTTCAACGTTCGCACACTTATGCAGGTTGGACAACAGATAGAGCTGGCTATGTCTTTGGAAAGTCTTCATATCGACGTGTGTTGTCTATCCGAGACCCGTATTCAAGACTCTGGCGAAGTACTACAAATTCGATCTCCATCTGTCGCTTCGAAAAGCTTGTTTTACGTGCGCTTATCCGGGGACCCTGTGGCATCTTCGTCTGGTCTTGCTGGCGTTGGTGTCGCACTAAGCGCTCGAGCTGAGGCAGCACTAATCGATTGGATCCCCATTAAAAGTCGGTTATGTGCTGTTAGATTAGAAAGTTCCATCAAAGTGAGAACAAATCGGCGTGAGAAACGATGTCCTTTCGTCATCTCCGCCTATGCCCCGACAGATTGCAGCCCGGATGCAATCAAGGATGAGTTTTACCACCAGTTATCAGTTCTTCTCCAGAAAGTGCGTTCGACAGATATTGTAGTACTAGCCGGAGACTTGAATGCTCAGGTCGGGCGTCTAGGCACAGAAGAGAGTCGTTTAGGTGGCCGATGGGGACTCGTTGGTCGCAGGTCAGATAACGGGGACCGTCTACTGCAACTTTGCACAGACCACAACCTATTTCTGGCTAGCACTAACTTTCGGCACAGTCATCGCCGATGTGCCACCTGGCGTCCTCCCTCTGCATCTCAAGCCTGGACTCAGATTGATCACATCGCGATCAGCTACCGCTGGCGTGGTTGTGTACAAGACTGCCGCTCCTTTTGGAGTACTTATCTGGACTCTGACCATGCCTTGGTCTGCGCCAATCTCACCTTACTTTTCAGTGGACAACGAAGTGACCGCCACCAACGGACTGATGTTAGCAAGCTGGTTGCAACTTCTGTTGCAAGTAAGCATCGAACCGAGCTAGCCTCTAGGCTAGCTACCATTCCACCGAGAGATGGTGTTACACAGTGGCTAGAAACGTTATCAGATATGGCTCAGAATAGAAGCCAGTGGCGATCCTGCTGTAACCTTCTTTTACTTTATACGAATATTCGTCAAGATTAGAACGAATAGTTTGACAGTAATTGGATGGATGTTTCTTCCTTAACTGAAAGATTTCTTCTGATTGTACTCTTCTGTTCCCCTACTATTACTATTATTATTACACTAACTTACACCAATCTCTTCGTTGTTTTTTTCTATTATTTTTTTACGTTCCTCACTTTTTTTTTCTTCTTAAATTCTCATTGTTTTGTGTGGCGCATATATATTTGGCGCACTCCTGTACCAATATATATGTGTTCAAATAAATAATAAATAATACTAAGCAGTAAGAATAGCTGGGTCGTAATAAGAGAAATAACATGAGGTATGGCAACTTGAATGTAAATACGTACCAGGTTCTACGATGTGACTGAGTGACTTTGAATTATTTTTACACCTAGATTTTGTCAATAAATTTAATATTGATTCACATTTTGTGTAATTCAACCTATCGATATCTTTTTGCCATGAGGTGTGAGAAAGTGGAGTGATATTCACTTTCCCCATGTTCTAGCCGTCTATGAGTGATTGATACAGTAAATCCTATTTTCAACGGGATCTTTTTTTAATGACTTAAAGGAATCAAGTTAAAGAACAGAGATCACGAACACTGACCAACGACAGTCAAAATTTTGATTCTTAAATTACCAATACGATATTAGTAATAAAAAAATCATTTTTAATGTTTTGAAGTAGTACATGTACAATTAGCTAAAAGCCAGATTTAAAAAGCATTGGAAATAATATCGCTTTATGCTTGCGACTGAAAGATAGATAGCTTTTCTTTACAGAGAACATACAGACCCTGCGGTCTTGTTATCATTTGTTAAATAGAGTTAGTCCATTTTAGATATCTTAAAGCATAGAAATCCCAGAAACACACTATAGTATCTTACAATATATATAGGGTATTCATAACAAGACATGAAAGTGAAAAATTTTCCCTGTTAGATTTATGTGTTTATATGCCCAAATTTGATGCTAATCACATAAATGTATTTATTACCTACTTTTCTACATTAACTTTTTCCAGTGAAATTCCTTCGGGACATGAGATTCTTTTTAGCATTTGTATATTCCGGGTAGATCAGACAAAACAGAATGAGAAAGTTTTTATCAACATTCAGGGGCCAAAAACAAACAAATGAAAAATATCTTAAACTTATTGGAAACATACTAACCTCATTGTAACTTCCTTTAATAACATTGGAGTAAATGCCTTCAGCTAGTAGTTCAAAAGTTTTCTCAATATTTTGGCCAGTAAGTGAAGATGTCTCAATGTAGATATAATCACCAAGTCGCTGTGCAAGAGACTCTGCTTCAATTTTGGTGACCTATCGAAATTATGCATAATTATGCTAATTATGTATAATAATAAGCAATAATAAAACTGTGAAAAAAACTTTCACTGAGATTTTACACATTTTTACCAAGTAGGAAGGAGAAATAAATATACGACAATATCCTACTGACTGAGAGAAAAGATATGAGCGGACATGGAACAAACAGAAAGATGGTATCAAGATTGGAATTTGGAAGAACGATTGCATCGCCTTTGGTATGACAAATTTTAAAATATTTGTAATGACCTAGTTTAGCACCCTGTAAAATTCAGCCGAGCAACTTACAAATCACGCTTTAGAATAACATTCAATGGCTGAAGAACAATGTAGTGTAATCAGACTACTTAATTGACCAGGATCCATTAGCTGGCCTTCATAATGCCCATTACGTAGGAAAGAGAAATGCCTCACAAATATCTAGACCAGATCTATCAACACCATGATAAACAGTTGTGGTACATCAAAGCGAACCACTGAGCAATGTACTCCATTTTTGATAGAAATCTCAATAACTGTCACAAGTGGTTTAAGTTGCCATGTGGTCATTGAACAAGACGTTTAGGTAACTATAAACTACTATCAACGAAATAGATGTTATTTGTGATTGTCGCTCATGTTTACTTAGCCAGTCCGTCACAAGAGATAGAGAACCTGGTATATTAGATATAACTTGCGTTATAAATCTGAAGAATAAAATGCATAGAATGATTTTTAAACTTTGGATCCAAGTAAAGATAAGGAGTGAATCTATCTGCCTGACTGCAAGTGATTTCGAGCAATATCATCTAACGTCGCGTTTATGCTTAATTTTCCTCTTTGTACGATGATACTTTGTGTTATATGTACTTAATGATATTTGGTCAGGAACAAAACATCCGTCGCATATTCTACTACCATGAACAAAATTTCGAAATGATCTTAATGGCTGAACTTTTATGTCTTACACAAGTTATACTTGCAAACCGTTTGAATTTTGAAACTGCCACGAAATTTTTGAAGCAAAAGGAATAAATCCGATATAACTCTGTGATTTACACTAGATACTTGCGCAATAGTTGTTCAGTAATTGATAAAATGAATATTTAAACCCAACAGTCGTGTTTCCCGACTTCACCACAATCATCGTAGTTTCCCAAATGTGGTATAGATGAGACTTAAAACACCTACAAAGTCAGTCAGCTACAACGTAGGACCAGGCACATATATGCATCGGTCCAGGTTGCCATACCTCATTAACACAACAAGATGAACACTGGATTCATAGCAGTGGCTATCTCAAAGGTGGTAATATATAAGAGAAAGATTGTATATAAAGATATAGTACAAGAAGAAAAAATTGGTTCGTAGAAAGAAAGGTATGAAGCGATTTTAATCTCTTAGTTTAAGGGAAGACAGGGAGTGTATACACCAACGCCATTGTGATCGATTCTGAGCCATGTCATCAACTGTCTCCAACCACTGGTTACGATAGTCACGATGACCCCAACCAAGTAGTCTGCATCTACCAACATGGCTAAGACTAGAAGTTAGTGACTTCAAGCACTGATGCCACGTTTTGGTTTGGTCGCCCCTAACTTTCTTCCAACCATCTCCAACACCGGTTAGCATTGCACGACGTGGTAATCGGTATTCAGGCATACGTGACCCAACCACCATTTTAGTCGATGAAGATTCATAACCTCATCAACTGATTTACTATCATTTCCTAATACCTTGCGTCTAACCTCACTATTACTATTACCCGGTGATCCCAGCAGACGCCAGCAATATTTCTAAGGCATCTGTGGTCAAATACTAGTAGCTTACGAGTATACTCTACTCTTAATGGCCACGTTTCGCAGCCGTAAAGTAGAACAGGACGAACTGCTGTGCAATATACTCGTCCCTTAATTGATAGACGGATATCTCGCCTTCGCCACAGGTGACGTAAGTTGGCAAAAGCCAAACGAGCTTTTCGAATCTGTACTGAGATTTCGTCAGACACCAACCCATTAGGGCTGATCAGACTTCCAAGATAAGTGAAGTTGTCAACACGCTCGACTATTTCACTCCCTATCCTTAGTTCAGGTGTTAACGCAGACCAGTCCTGAAGCAACAACTTGCATTTAGAGGGAGAGAAGCGCATTCCAAACATTCGGACATTGTTGCTCAGTGCTACCAAAAGACTATGCATTTTGTCAGCGTCTTCACCAAACAGGACTATGTCATCTGCGTATTCTAAGTCGATAAGTGGACCTCCTGGATGGAGATCAATACCCGAGAACTCAGTCGACGAGAAAGTTATTTCTATCAGTAGATCTATGATGAAGTTAAACAAAAATGGGGAAAGTGGACAGCCTTGACGGACACCACTTGAGCTTGCAAAAGTAGATGACAGTTCGCCATAAGCTCTGACTCGACTGGTAGTGTTCGAGTAAAGAGCCTTCACAAGGTTTGTGTACTTCTGCGGTACGCCTTTCAATGACAGACACTGCCACAGAATCTCGCGCTCTACAGAGTCAAATGCTGCTTTTAAGTCGAGAAAGACCACCATTGTCGGACGTCGATAAGTATGCCTGTGTTCTAGAATCTGACGAATGGTGAATATGCGGTCGATGCAGCCACGACCAGGTCTGAAGCCAGCTTGGTTCTCTCGTGTTTGCAGTTCACGAGTCTTAGTTAGGCGTCTGATAATTATCGAGGCTAGTATTTTAGATATTATATTAGTTAAACTAATCCCTCTGTGGTTGTCACAGGACGATTTTGACCCTTTCTTATATATTGGGACGATAAGTGATTGTGACCAGTCAGATGGGATAACGTCTAACTCCCAGATCTTAGCTAAAATATTAGTCAAACTAATCGCTAAAATTGGACCACCATCCTTAAAGACCTCTGGAGCCAATCCATCTGGACCAGCTGCCCTTCCTCGTTTCAGATTAACTATAGCCTTTTGAACTTCTGCTAGACTTGGAGGACCTACTTCAATGTTCCACTGTCTGGGAATGGAGGGTAGTTGTAGAGTAGCTGAAGGCCAGCTGAACTGTTCCCTAAAATGTTCCGCCCATCGTTCTAAGCGTCTGGACTGGGCGCAGATGAGAGTATCGTCTTTTTCCGATATAATCTCGCTTACACTTGACTTATTAGTTCCAGTTTCTTTTATAAGTCTGTAAAGCTGTCTTGTGTTCCCTATAGTCGCCGCCTTTTCCATCTCTTTTGCTTTCATTGCCCACCACTGCTCACGGTCGTTTCTTAGACTTTTTCTTAACCTAGATCTGATTTGTTGTCGCTCTTCATCATGTTCGGAACCTGATGGGACGAGTTTGGAAGAATCCATCAGTGTGATAGACCTTGAAGAAATCCACTGGTTTTTTGTAACTCTCTGGTTTAAGTCGCTAATAGATGTCACTGCTGTTTCCACAGCTGCTTGTATGTCTTTCCAAGCAACATCTGGGTCAGCCTCGTCTTTAGAACTACCTAATTGTGACCTCAGTTGTTCTTGGAACCTATTTTTGGTTTTCTCGTTACTCAACTCAGTTCTAATGGGTCTTTTTAATGTGGCTTTTTTGCGTCCAGTGAGGCGCAAGCAGATGCGTGTCCGTATTAGGGCGTGGTCAGAGTCTAAGCAGGTACTCCAGAATGAGCGACAATCTTCTACCGACCCTTTCCAACGATGACTGATGGCAATATAGTCTATTTGAGTCCATCGTTGGTTTGGTGTAGGTGGTCGCCATGTTAGACGATGTCTCTCCTTATGCTTGTGTTTGCTAAAAATAAGCGATTGTCTGAGCACAGTTGCAGCAGACGGTCACCATTATCTGTTCGCTGTGCCGGAATGCTAAAATATCCACCTAAATGCCTTTCTGTTTGGTTTAAGCTACCTATCTGAGCATTAAAGTCACCCTCTACGAGTACTATTTCTGAGCGTTTAGTTTTCTGAAGAAGTTCAGAAAGCCTTCTGTAAAATTCATCTTTCACTTCATCTGAGCTGCAGTCAGTGGGAGCGTAGGCAGAAACGATGAAAAGGCAACGACGTGTGTCCCTATCCTTGCGAGTTCTTACGGAGCCGTTTAGCCGAACAGCACATAGACGACTGTTGACGGGGATCCACTCTAGCAGTGCTTGTTCCGCCCTCATGCTTAGTGCTATGCCTACACCTGCCAGTCCACGAGAACTGGCTATCGGGTCACCAGATACACGTAGGGCGTATCTCGTTGGCTCTCCGTTTTGCCGAGGTGAGGTGAAGTGAATGACCACACTGGGATCCTGTATGCGTGTTTCGGAGACACAGCATACATCAATGGAAAGAGACTCTAGGGTTTTAGCCAAGGAAGCCTGCTGACCGATTTGACATAGGGTGCGTACGTTGAAGGCTCCAATGTGTAGTTTGGAGCGAGGTTTCAGTAGACCTGGGACAGAGTTTTGAGCACTACAATCGTTGGCTATGGTGACACTTGAGGGGGAAGCCGAAAAAATAAGTCTAGAGTTTGAAGTCGATGGAGGAGGAATAATAGGAATTAAAGAGGGAGGTTGGTTATGAATACAGTGGTCTTGAGTGCTGTTAGAGGTATGAGGGCGGTTATCACTTCCCGGTTGCCCACACCGAGGAAGGGTTCTTCTGGAGGTACCTGAAAAGGAAATTGGATTAGAGGCGGTCTCAGTGACCTGAGAGCGTGACCGCAGTGCCCAAGGGACAACTGCTTGAGGTCGGTCACACACGACCTTGTTATGGGTAATTTTTGTGTTAGCTCCGTACTTATTGAGACCTTATCGCCGGAGACGGATATCCGTGGGATAAGGCGAGGTGTGCATTTTTAGGATCGACCTTTTCTAACCCCACCCCTCCTTGTGGGAAGGCAGCATCGCTGCCTTGCTGGTTGTCTGAAGGAAACACCTTACTGCTGTCACACCTCTGTACAGTCAGCAGTACGACTTCGCCTTCGGACCTTGGGTTTGTTGTTTTTAGTCTTACCGCTCTTCAACCGACCTGTCTGACATGGTAGGACCTTGAGGAACGGTTGTTCCAGCCAGTATAGCTCGGTTGCTTTATCACGATAGGCAAGCCCGACCACCACGTCAAGGTAGCAACAACGGTCGGAAAAACACCTACTATTGTCTCTGAAAAGTGTCTGCTGATATTAATATACTCATACTAAACTAGCTTCGCTGTAATTAGGTTCCAGGGTATTATGTGATGGAATTAATTTATTTAACGGGTGGTAAAAAGCGCAGACGACTTATATGGGATTTCATTTTTGGGTTCTAAAACGGTGTTATCAAAAGACAATAAGGACGATTTACCATAATGCTACCAGACGCCTTTAATAGCATCACAAAATGGTAAAACTTATAGTTTGCAAAATAAGATATTTGGAGATTAGGTGTTTTTTACGTTACCATATTTTTTTAATGGATTAATATCATATTCTAAGAATTAAAACAACATCAATATCAAAAATGATCATAGTAGGACACCAATGAGTTTGATGTGAAGATAAAATTTGCTACATCAGCTTACTTGTCTTTCATCACGACGATCAGCTTTATGACCAACTATTATAAACACGGGAGCAGAGCACTTAATTGAACCACGAGCTTCTTCATACCAATCAGTAACATGGTCAAATGTCTCTCTGTCAGTAAGATCGAACACAACTACAACACCAACACAATTGCGATAATAAGACGAAGTTATTGTTCTGAAAGTATAAATTGATATTACTGTTACAACAAACCTAAACTTTTCTTGACCTGCAGTATCCCATAATTGCAACTTAACGAAGACCTCCTCTTGGATTCGAACAGTTCGTGAGAAAAAATCAACTCCAATAGTGGGATCTGAAACAGGAGTGAAATTCCCTTCTACGAAACTTTTCATTAAGGAGGATTTTCCAACCATACTATCACCAATTATGATAACACGAAATTGATAGTCGAAATAAGGTAGCATCTTTTACTGACCAACCAGACATTAAGAATCAGATTTCATGTTATGTTTGAGAGGCTCAACCTCAATAAAATGTGCAAGGATAGCTTTGTGATGGATGAAAGAAAATTGTTAGGAATCTCAGGAGAATATTACGTATTAAGTCACCAAAGTCAAAAACGATAAGTTTTGTGATAGTTTGGCTTCGTAGGATTTTAAAATATCATGTTCACTTAATCTTCACATAAACCACAATTACGGAAAGGGTTAAAAGACAAAGTCAAATGTAACGCATGAGTTCACGAATTGCGAACTTTCCATTGCTCAATACATTTGGGTCTTCGATATGAAGTTACATCACCACTACTTTATTTTAATTTTTGAAATCTTGGCATACACTAGTGCAAACCACGGCGTTAAAAAAAGCAATAATTTCAGACTACTATACCCGTAAGTCAGTCTTCAGTCTTCAGTAATAAGCATAGTAGGTTGATGAACCTGTGTTAATCCTGACAAATTGCTTTACAGTGAAGGTCCAGCTTTTCCTTGAAAATAGTCACTGATGGGCCTGACACCACTTGTTCGAGTAAGGCGTTCCAATCATTGACTACTCGATGAGAAAAACGGGACCCTATTTTAAGTTTATTAGATCGTGGTTTATGAACATTCGTGCTATGACCTCGGAGATTATTAGTCCTGGAGGGAGCAAAAAGATAAGACATATTAACACCAAAATCATAATTAAAGATACAAAATGCCAGTATAAGGTCACCTCGTGTCCTACGATACGACAAGGGGAAAAGATTTAGGCGTTTTAAACGCTCATCGTAAGGGAGTCTAGAAAGACCCTTCACTAATTTCGTTCCCACACGCTGGACACGCTCAAGGGAGTTAGTATCCTTTACCAGACACGGGCTAGCTGCTTGGATACAGTACTCTAAATGTGGTCTTGTTACGAAATCCGTGTTGCTCAGGAGCTAACAGATTGTGTGAATCTATGTGGCTTAGCAACCTAACCCGAATTATCTTTTCAAGTAACATAACGACTATACTAGGTAGACTGACAGGCCGGTAGTTAGATACTATCTGTCTCTGACCGTCATTAAATATAGGACTGACTATAGCGTCCTTCCAACCTCCAGGGAGTTGAGCGAGTGAAGGGGACATGTTGAAGAGTGTCGCGAGCGGTCTTGAAATAATGTCCGCAAGAGGTGACAGCAACCGTGGATGTAACCCGTCAGGGCCCGGTATCTTACCAGGTTTGAGGTTAGTTATCAACGGAAGGACAGTTTCCCCAGTCACCTGTACAGATTCAATGGTTGGTATCTCGGTGTGAGTGGGACAAGTATTTGTTACAATAAACGTAGAGTAGACTTTGCTAAAATAGTTTGAAAAAGTCTCAGCTTTTGCCCGGTCTGATTCAGCTAGTAAATCTGAATTTTCGTGTAACAGTAACGGGGGAATACCATCACTACGTTTCATTCACCATTTAACATACGAAAACAATCGTTTCGCACAAGTACGGCTATCATATAATAACTGTCGTTCGTAAGTGGTATGGGATTTGGCTATGGTTTTCTCGCAGATATTACGAAATTTTCGGTACTCACGCTTAAATGGTTCATGACCTGTCAACAAGAATAAGTCCCAGAAATGTTTCCTACGCTTTAACAGCTTCCGGGTTTCCTTATTAATCCATGGAGGGCAATGTGATAGCTTACGTGCTGACCATGGGATAAGCGTTGACGTTACGGACTTGAATATAGCCTTAAACTTATTCCATTCATCTTCGATCAACCCATCCGCGTCGACCGACCTATCAGTCGAGATAGCACGGCTTCTGATTGCCGGAATATTGGCTCGCCAGATATTGGGACGGGGTGGAGCAGATACGAATTGTATACCATGTGTCCTAAACTTAAAGTGAATTACAACGTGATCACTGTTCACTAGTGGGGGAAAGTGCTGGATATCAAAGAAATCCTCACAGTGGTGGGTGAGAGCGAGGTCCAGCAGTGACGGATCATGTTTCAAATCAATATGTGTCGGTTTTGTGATACATTGTACAAGTGCACACTGAATAACGGTAGATAAACGGTCGCTATCGAAACCACTACCTGGAGCTGCAAGCTCTATCCAGTTGATATGCGGTGCGTTGAAGTCCCCAATGATGAGACAACATTCTGCCACACTCCAAGAACAGATGTGTCCTAGGATAAAGTCGTCAGCAAGACAAGACGGACTACGGTATATCCCCCCTATAGTCACTAACACATTTCTAGATTTAATCTTACAACATGCAACCTCACATGTGCCACTGATATGAGCCTCCGATATGGTTGATTGTATACGAAAAAGATTCCTAACGTATAATACTATACCTCCCTCTTTGCGACTTGAAACTCTATCACTTCTGATACAGATATAACCAGCAATGAAAGGAGAACAGTCTATATCAACGGTGAACCAAGTTTCTGTAACAACGATTATATCGGGACATAATTCTTGCACCATCAGACTTAGCTCGGACGTTTTTATTTCTAAGACTACGAGCGTTCGTGTAGCACACACTTAAGGTGTTTTGGCAATCAATCGTTCTACACATACAGGCCTCGGAAGCATTGGCTTCCAAGACCTGACTACCCGAAAACCCTTAAGGTAAGGTTATTTTCGCCATTTAATTTGCGAGTCCTCAACTCCGTAAGAGCATTCTTCCACTTGATTCGATCCTCAAGCGGTCAATCTGGTCGAATACGGATATTTGAGGCACGAGTTTTTAGTGCGCTTTTCAATAGTATGTCTCTTTCTTCAAAAATCTAGAGAACCAGCTTCAGGATTCTTCTTGGTTGGGTCTCGCCTCCAACCCATTTACCAAGTCGTATTACTTTTGTAGTATGTACCCCTGAAACCTCTTCGGGTAGTACATTTCTTACCACAGACTCCACTAACTGCAGGTCATGTGCATGTCTTCTAGCAGGGTCGTTGTCTTTCGACTCCTCTAGATTCCAAATAATTGAACTAGGGAGGCGTTTAGCTTCTTTTGAAACTGTTTTCACAGCTTTCGACAGTGACGATAGATCCTGTATTTTAACTACTGGTATCTGAAGATTAGTTATTATTGTAACAGAGTCCTGAGAGCCGAGCGAGTGACTCACAACAATGTTAGACGAGGCTTTACTATGGGACTTTGGCGGAGTGGTCTGAGAGTCCACCAAAGATTTATCAAGTAAACGATCATTAGTTTTAGCTGTCTTTCCTAATCTTCTGCGTTTCCGTGTCATCCATATTCCATCAGTCGTAGCATCCACATTAGAACCACTCGGGACAGTAATTGTTTTATCTGGGTCACCGGTTGCTGCTGTAGCAACATGGCCACCAATATCTGATGAGGTGTCACTCATTGATTGTTTCGGGTTAGACGGTTTAATAGCGCGTTGCACAGTTAGATGTCTGGCTTGCGCCGTGACAACACTCACGACACTAACGCAATCTTCGCCATCAGTACCAATGTTGCCAGTACAGCCCTCATCAACCTTCTTATTAGCCAACACCAGGAGACTAATTGCTTCCTGGATAAGCAGTGTTTTGCTCGAGTAACAAAAACTACAAAGCCAATGAGAGTTGGGCTTTGAGCACCATTTATATGCAGTGGGGCTTAATCGGGTGCACATCTTATGAAACCACTTATTACACTCATCACATTGCATCCCTTCATCCACGGGAAATAAGCAGTATGGTTGTCCACATTTATGAGTAGACCTAGCCATCTTGAAAATCAACTAGAACGGTGACAAAAACAGGATATGTAAAAGGATTTTCAAACCTTAACTAAATAAATCAAGTAAAAGTCGACCAAGTATGCTTCGATGCAATAAATACACAAAAGCAAAATCGAAAAACTCAATGCAATATCACTTTAACTGGGGTAGATGCAATTAAAGTGTAAACAGTAGTTTTGATGCGTACTTTACGATCAAAACAGTTAATTAACTTAACGAGAAAGAATACCACTGTCCTTTTAAATCAACATTTCCCCTACATAACCGTCGTGAAGGCGAAAAAGCGACATTTCCCCCTTATTAACGCTTTCATCCCCTTTATTTCCCTTTTATTGGTTGACTAGGAAAGTGATGTGCTGATGGGCGAATATGGATTGTAGCTGTAAATAAGTCCCCAAAATAAATAGCTCTGTAATTTTTCGACATTGGATACTGACCACATGTTTTAATGGACTCACCTAGCTGAAGGCGCTCGGTCATGCATCCGCACCAGATCACGAATTGGAACGCCGTGCTCAACAACCTCTGCAATCACTAGCCAGATTAGATCAGACGATCCTCGATATATTGATAGCCTATCAAATATAACTTCGAACCTCCTCGCTTCTGTCTTTTGATTTCTCTTGGAGGGTACGATTCATATTAGGTGTTACTGGTTAAAGCGTTGTCAAGCTCCGAATACCTGTGGCATCTTCAGGATCTTTTCTGTTTTGGCGGCAAACAAACCCCTAAAATAAATAGTTTTTCATGTCTCCGATATTGATGCTGATTTCATTAGTTTTGCTGAACGCACCTTAGCTGAAGGCGCCTCGTCACGCATTCTCACCAGATCATTAATGTACACGTCGTTAGTGTTTCAGTTGACTTAAACATGTCTTTTTACGTGACGTTTGTATTGCTAAAGCAGTTGTATGTAAAATGGATTAAACCTTATCTGGTTTTGCATGATAGAATGTGCTGTGGATTTTTGAATGTGTATTATATCAAGGAGTTAATTCGCCCTGTCTATAGTCATGTGGTAATCGGTTAAACCGTCAGTCAAATGCAAAATATAACTTAAACCTATGTACATTAGGATAAAATCGTGATGATAAGTCCCAGAGTTGTAGGTGTAGTATTAGTGTCAGTTTTATAACACTAGGAATCAGAAATGCGGTTCAAGAAGATATAATTTGCCGTGACATCAAAGACTGGCGCTTTTTCCGGGTTTGGCCGCCGATAGTGTAAAACTAGCTAACTCCTAAGTCAGAAATAATTGCTCGTCGAGGTAAGTGGTGATTCTTCATATGTAACGCTTTTCCCAATTACCCAAGTTGATAAACACCGCTGAATCAACAAGCGCTTTACTGTCTTAGCCCGGTTCCCTATTACAAACTCAGACACCGCCTTTTCTGCGGACCCAAAATGTATGTGTGATGCTTCCAAGCAAAGACTATCAATAGAATTAGAGCAAATAATACACAGAAAAGAGAATGATCCATCCAGCAATTTTAGGCGATCAACATTTAA